ACACAAAGGGAACAGAGACACTGTGGTGGCATCAAGTACACAGGACACAATCTCTCTCTCTCTCTCTCTCTCTCTCTCTCTCTCTAATTAAGCAACAAGAGCATGAATTATTAATGCACACTAAAGAATAAAGTCTGACACATAAAATTCACAAAGTCCTGAGTGGCTATAGAGTACTCTAGAAACTAAAATCTCAAGCAAGTTTGAATTTCAAAACAAATCACAAAACTTTTCCCATCAAGTTTTCAGGGGAATTCTTCTGTCAGCACAACAGGTTTCCGATTTGGTTTAATAACTTTTCCTGTGAAGGTTCCAGCAAACCTAGCACCCCCTCATATGCTTAACTCCTCTCCCTTCAGGGACTGATCAAAAGCAATCGATGGGACACTCTGAGCATACCCTACATTGGCTGTTTATACCCTATAATTTAAAGCACATTCCAATCCCTCCTCAGAGAATCCTGGGAACTGGCTTGTTAAGGGTGTTGCAAACAGCTCCCTTGATTCTTTGGGGGAGGGAAATTTTGCAATAATGAATCCCCCCCCCCATATGCACTGTTCACAGAGCTGGAAAGTCATTATAATTGGGCTGCAAAAGAAACCAAATTCTCCTTCCTTTCATAACAGTTATTTCTAAATATTACAAATCAAAACAATGAATTCAAATATGTTTGCTTTGTATAAACATGTTTGGTTCATGTGTTTCCTTCATCTTTTCTTTTAAATGTGATAACTGATTCTTTGCAGAATGGCTACAGGAAGTGAAAAGATAGGAAAGGATTGGGTCCTTGAGGAGCACCATGTGGCTGTTATAGAAGGACGAAAGTACCTGGATGTTTTAGTACTCTTTCTCCTATCAGTTTCCTAGAAACTTTTCTGGATTTAAAATGAACACAGAGTTCCTTAGGAATCAAAATTCTGTGCCAAAAATGAAATATGGGTTTTTGTTTTTGTTTTGTTTTGTTTTTTTGCTATTCTATGAGAGCACAACTATGAAAGCCCAAGGCGTCCCTGTTCATGAATGTGTATGACTTTAGCATACACTACTACAAAGCAGTTGCAATAGATAAAGTAGGGAATATGTTTTTGTTCCTTAGTATAAGAATAAAATATGATTATATACACAACACCTCCAACCACTAGGTTGTAGTGCTCAGTTTCATTAGGGCTCAGCTAAAGTGTTGCATATTTTCTTGTTTTGGTTTGGTGAAGTTGGAGGCCTCTGCTTTTGATTTTGCAAATCAGTTGTGTTCCTTTTTGTGGGTATCCCATAAATAGAGTTAGGAAATGACAAAAGAACTGGCAGGTGTCATACAGGAAATTTTTAGTATACAATTGACACTTGTTTTAAATCTGTGATAGTTTCCACAAGTCATCATTCTGAAACCTCTGAATTCTGCCTCTGCAGCTCTGTATGCGTTTGTGTTGGAGTGCTGTATATCAACTTTCCCTTTGACTGAATTATTAGTTAAATGTGTAATTGTAACAGCTACTATTGAAGTAAAGTGTTGGCATTATTACCTTCATCAATTAACATTGTGGTAGGCATCTGGGCAAGCATCCAACAAATCCATGCATGTGTTAATACATTAGCCCTATACATTAGATCTCCGTTTTGTCCTTTAACTGTCTTTGGGAAATGTGCTGTCAGATGAAGACGTGATTGCAAGTTTCGCATCTCTGGCTGTGCATTTATAAATATTTCAGAAGGAGACGGGAACAAGACAGGCACATCCCACTGCCTGATGGTTTGGCAAACTTTGGCATTTCTCCATCTCCAGAAACATTAAATGTGTTGCTTTTATTCTTTTCATAGTCCACACATCGTCCCTTGAGATTCCAATCTGTCATGGGGATGTCATATTTCTTCACCACTTAAAACCATAATATTTTATTTAAGGATTCTTCCAAATTTCCCTTCCTCCAAATCTGCATTGCATCCTAAACGGGAGAAGAACTTGTGAGGAGGGAAGTGTCATAACTGGAGACCAACATTACAAGTCGCTGAGATCCGGATGCCAAACCAGAAATTGTACAGCTTAACAGCATCAGCTTTCACACATATGTTCATTACTACTACAACATGTTGAAATCTGGGGAAGTTTGTGGTAAGATGCAAAAGTGAGTGATATTCAAAGGAGAAAAGTCTAAAGGGAAATGAGGCATTGGTGATGCATTTTGGATCCCCACAAGACTCTGTTCACTAGCCTTGATTGAATATTGCTTATGACATCACTAATGGTGAATGCTCACCATTTTGAGGCCTTTGATAAAATTCTCTCTTTCAATTCTGAAGTGGCCGCAGCAAGGTCTTAATACAGTGGTACCTCAGGTTAAGTACTTAATTCGTTCTAGAGGTCTGTACTTAACCTGAAACTGTTCTGAACCTGAAGCACCACTTTAGCTAATGGGGCCTCCTGCTGCTGCTGCCGTGCCGCCATCATGTGATTTCTGTTCTCATCCTGAAGCAAAGTTCTTAACCAGAGGTACTATTTCTGGGATAGCGGAGTCTGTAACCTGAAGCGTATGTAACCTGAGGTACCACTGTGCCTGGCATTAGAAATGAATGTGCAATTTCAGATCAAAGCACTGCATCAGGAACTATAAGAGCAATTGTTGGTCAGGTTATGTTTGTAACTTAGATACCCAAGAAGTACATTAAAAGAATGGATTCTGGATCATAATTCCAAGGCTGAAACTTTAAATGTCCAAACTAATTTCTTACAATAGCAGCAGTCCCAAGGGTTGAACTAATGTATGTTGCATTAATGTGATATATATGAAAAGACAGGAGGTCATACATTTATGATGAATGAAGGGAAATGAAGGCACACCAGGCATGCAACTGGTTACTCTTTCTACAATTTTTGTTGGGGTTGAAGCTCAGAATTCACAAAAGGGTCCCTTCTTTCAGTGTATTAGGAGAAAGATGGTATGATGTTGAGAGAACTAAATGATTTTCAGAGAATAACAGTTGTTTAAAGTAGTAGGCATTTTCCACTAGAATTACTGGAGTTGGCATTCTATATCTAAATAGGAAACTCTGTCCTGTGCATATGCTTAACTTTCCCTACATCTCTAGATGATACATAGATAGATAATCTACCTACCCACCTACCTATCTCCAGTGCTTTTGTGCTTCCCAGAATGGGTGCAAACTGCAAGTCAATGCGGGAGTTAATAAGCACTGAGTCTTTTTACAGTACAATTCATACAACATTTATTTAATGCTCTTTATCCAACAAATATCCCAAAGGATTTGAGATGGCATCAGGAAAGCAGAAGCTAGCTTAGGAAATGCTAAATGAAATTAATGTCTGTTGAGCTTCTAACTCTAAACCATTGTCTCTCACTCTATGGATTCTAACATAAATGCCTTGGGGAAGGAACAGAACAAAAAGCCCCAGAGATGCAAAATATTAAATTCAGCAATATACCGTAGGATGACAACATCTGGCCTCCTTATTAAAGGCTAGCAAAATACAGAGGGAAAAGGTTAATGAGATCTTTTTTGCAGGCATCAAATTACATCACAGTTAGATGTACTATTCTTTCATGATTATAGTACTACAAACACTTCCCCTTTGGCATACATTTTTAATATAGTGAGCCATAACTGTTTCTTCTGGAAACAGGAGTGGATGTAGGTGTAGTTTTAAGTATCTGTGTGATGTGTACTAAATATTCGTAGTATAGAAAATGATACAATACTATTAATACTTTAAGTTTCCTATTTCACCATTATTCAACACTGCTGCCCTCAGATAGCAGATCTTAGGATCATAGCAAAACAATAGCTGTTTCTCTGTCCCTTGGTGTAGTTTGTGAGCCCTTGGGCAATGTCAGTCCTTTTAAAAACTATGTTTATCAGTGAGAGTGCATTTGTTTTGGAAGGGAGGGTTGGGGGCAGAGTGAGGGGGGAGAAAAGGAGGGAAGGTTCTGTATTATTAGCAGAAGTTGTTCTGCTCACAAATGTTGGATACAATCCAATGTGGTGTTGTTGCTGTTTACTAAGAAGTGCTAATATCCACCCATCTCTCTGGAATCCCTTGGCACTGCCATGTCAAGGATCCCCCCCCCCCCCGGTCTTTCTGAAGTACTTTGTAGCACAGGGCTAAGCTGAATTTACACATGCACAGCACCAAAAATATTGCCACAGGCAGCATGTCTCATGCCACTACAGTGGTACCTCTGGTTAAGAACTTAATTCGTTCTGGAGGTCCGTTCTTAACCTGAAACTGTTCTTAGCCTGAGGTACCACTTTAGCTAATGGGGCCTCCTGCTGCCCCCGCACTGCCATTGTGTGATTTCTGTTCTAATCCTGAAGCAAAGTTCTTAACCCGAGGTACTATTTCTGGGTTAGCAGAGTCTGTAACCTGAAGCATATGTAACCTGAAGTGTCTGTAACCCGAGGTAACACTGTATCTGCAGGTGGGAATCAATCTCCACACTGCTTGCTAGTGGTGACTTTCCTCCTTTCCCCTTATCTTAACTACGCCAGAAGCATTGTCCTCACTCTGTTCTGACTTCATAAAATCTTAATAAGAACAGCCAGCTGCATCAGGCCCCTGGCCCATCTGGTCCAGCATTCCCCTCTCACAGTGGCCAGCAAGATGCCCCAATGGGAAGCCCAGAGCACTCTTCCCTCCTGTGAGATCCAGCAGCTGGTATTCAGAAGCATGTTCCCTCTGACCATGACAGGGAGCATAGTCATTGTGGCTAGTAGCTCCTGAAGGCCTTTACTTCCACAAATCTGTCTAATCCTCTTTCTAAAGCTACCCTGGTTGGTGGCCATCACTGCCATCTGTGGGAACCAATTCCATAGTGCTGTGGGAAGAAGGGCCTGCTGGATCCGGCCAATAACCCATCTTGTCCATAGGAAGACAGGAAGCTCCCTTATACTGAATCAGACCATTGGTCCATCTAGCTCAGCACTGTCTCTATTGACTGATCCACAGCAGCCTTCCAGGGTTCCAGACAAGGGTCTCTCCCAGTCCTGCCTGGAGATGCCAGGGACTGAACCTAGGACTTTCTGCATGCAGAGCAGATGCTGTATCACTGAGCTACAGCCCTTCCCCCAAACTGACTTTGTTTAGCCTGCATTTGAATTATTACATCAGAAAAATCCACAACAGGTCAAGAATGCCTGTCCTTGATACACAGGGAGGGTCATCAGTGTAGAATGTGAGAGCAAATCTATTTAAATGCAAGGAAAGATGCAATTACACATCTGGTAATCAGTGTTTGTGCAGGTGTTGCTGGAATAAGATTCGAGCAGATTAATTATTTACACAGATTATGTTGACGATTTGCAATGGATTTAGGGGAGGTTTCCTGGCAAGGATTGGGAGGTGGGATTGTTTGTGATTAACTTAAAAGCAAGGATAAAGCAATGCCATTATTAAGTAAATACTACCGTCTACAGCAGCTTGGTAAGGTCCTGGGCAGTGACTGGCTTTGTCTGGAAAATGAAAGAGCAGTGCTTGATGCGTGTGCTAGAATGCCACGTTCCTATTTCCACATGTCCTTCTCTCACTGGCTTAGTGCGCTGGAGAAAGAGTGGAGATGAATTAGAATTTTCTAAATATTGAGATTCAGTTGCCATAATGTGCTTATGGGCATTATAGTGGAAATGAGTATCTGGAGGCAGATTGAGGGACTTGACCTAATGCCCTTATCTCTCAGCCTTCCAACTCCACACTAATGAACATATACTCATAATTATTTCTCAAATAGTTTCTATCTAATTTTAAAGTGGGTAATTTATAGCACTTGTACAAAAACGCCGCAAGTTTCATTAAAATATTCAGCACAAGGAGAACTTTGAGCAGAATATATTTCTTTACTGTTCCACAAAGTCATACATATTTATAATAAACCCCCTTCAGTTGCTTTAATAATAGCATTCTCTTCCACAGATCTGAATGCTAATGTTAATATTTCTGCCTTAGTAGGATGGTTACTAAAGACCATAGACTGAATGACTTACTATTGGGTGGGTGCATGTAGGCTCCTGCTGTTCATTAATGTTTCCTTTAATTAGGATTTGTTTTGCGACAGGGTGTACATTGCACACAAGGCGGAAATGCTGAGGAAGAGAAATAGTGTATCATGCTGCTTAAGGTGGCAAATCAGCTTTGTAGGGTGGACATGAGTCTTGCTTAAGATTTGATTCAGTGACCCAGAGGTGGATTTAGGGGAGTGTGGCTGAACACAGGGTATCAGGAACTGGCTGGATGAGGAAACATGGTGGAAGCCACCTGCCCAAGAGCCCCCCAGGGATGGCACAGAAGAAGATGACTTGGGTCCTGGTTCCTGGTAGTGGGACACTGAAGAGCAGTCAGCAAAAGGGATGAGCTTGGAGCCGCTAGAAGCATGGAGTTTGAGCAATCAAGGGGGGTCAGGAGAAGGAGGGTCTTGCAGGACAGGGTTAGAGGCACAGAGTCACAGTGTGAGTGCAGACACTGGCGGAGGAAGAGGAGTGTGGGGTGCCATCGCGGCTGCCTCCCCGCCCACGCTGGGTGCCACGCCCCCTCAGGCAATGCGCCACACCCTGGGATGCACGCCAGCCCTGCCCCCGCCTGCTCTCTGCCCCCCGGTGCCAGAGCATGAAGCTCCGCCACTGAGTGCAGACTCGGATAGAGAGGAACCAGAGGTTGGCCCTGCTACACAGCAGCAGTACAGTCCCAGTTCTGCTGGCTTGCCTCCCCTTCTGACACTGCGATTGCATGTTGCTGAGCAATGGGCCAGACAGGCCCAGAGGAGGAGCTTGTCCCTTGATGCAGCCTTCATCTGCTTGGGAGGGATCCATAGTGAAAGGCTAAAGGAGAAGGGCAGAGCTAGTGTCCAATTTCAGCAACATCTTAGCTGGATTAAGGAGAACCAGAGGACTCTGCTGTGTTGTTATTTTCTGTTGAGAAAGAGCTCATTGCATCCCATGCCTGCCATTTGCATGCCAGCCAGGTGGTTGACCTGGCTCATTGACAGCTCTGTGACACCAGACATGGAGCCTCATGGGAGTGCCGCAACTATGATGTAGTCTGGAAGGTGAGAGGTGAGAGGCACTGAAATTTGGCATTTCACAAGTCGCCATCGATATTTGAGACCTTGTAGTCCACCACTGAGTGACTTCACCCTCCAGTGGTCATGTGGGGAGGAGCCATTTTTTTGCTGCACACTTGTTTTTGTAGCCACTGCCACGTATTCAAATGGCCTTCCCAGTGCTGCAGAATGATACCCCCAGGCTCCTTCCATTCCTTCCTTTCCAGAAAAGAAACATTTATTCCTTCTTCTCAACTCTGAAGATATCCTTCCAAAAGCCAAATCAGAGTGGTGGCAAATGTGGAAGCAACATCCCCCCCCCCCCCCCGCTTCTGCTCAGAATGAAACAGGGTGGGATAGGAAGCAATTGTTCCAACTCCTGTCCTTATTTTAATATGGATGCCATCTGGGTGAAAGGAAGAAGGAAATGCTTCCTGTCTGGAGAGGTAGTCCTTGAAGGAACTTGGGCAGGGAGGATATAGCACCCCTAACAGGTGGGAGGGTGAATGCCACCTCTGATAAGTGGGGTAAAAACTTTGCCACATTTTCATCCTTCATACTGATGAAAAGGTTGTTCCACATTACAGCCTGGGAATGGGTTGGTGAAATGGCATTTTGACTCAGATCTAGTTTAAGTTAGTTACCTACTCACACTATTATTAGCATTATTTTTTTCACCAGCCTTTGTTGTATGAGAATATAATGTAAAGAAAGGCATTCTGCTGCCTTCAACATAATGTATTTTGTTTTTATAGTTGTTTGGTTCTTTTTTTTTCTAAAGAAAATGAATGAGTGAAAAATGTGCCATTTGCTCCCCATAGAAGCCCTGGCACTGACTCCAGAATCAGTTTCCTGAAGGTGGGTGCTCTCCAAGCAGGGGTGGACCTTGGTAATATGTCACCCTCTGCTCTCCGCCCAGCCCTCAGGACACCAGGCTTTGGGAAGGAGGCAGGAGCGCTCGCTCTGGCAGGGTCCTAGAGCCCTCCTATCTCCTTCCCAAAGCCCAGCAGTGCAACTACGGCAGCCCAAAGGGTATATGCTCAGAAATGGGAGGAAGGCACAGCTCCCACAAAGGAGGAATGGCAGGCAAAATTGGAGAGTGCAGTTAATTAAAACATTAGCAGGATTAGAGTAAATTCAGCAGTATAAAGTAAACTGAGATGATGATGATGATGATGATGATGATGATAATAATAATAATAATAATAATAATAATAATAATAATAATAAATGACTCTGGGAAGCTTCCAACATATATATAAACATAGTAAAACATCAAACCTTAAAAAGCTTCCCCATACAGGACTGCCTTCAGTGGTTTCCTAAATTACTCATCTCCTTAACATCTGATAGGAGGGTATTTCACAGGGTGGGGCCACTACCGAGAAAAAGACAGAAAACTGAAAAAGACAGAACATGGAATATTTATGCAGCAGTAAAGGGTTAATAAATTGAACCATGAAAGGGGAAAAGGGAAGCTGTTTGTATTTGGGTGAATGTGAATGTGGAAAATTTGTATAATTGAAAATCATAAATAATATTTTTTTTAAGTTATTGCCCAGCTTTGGGAAGGAGGGCTCAAGGCCGGGCAAGTGCTTACTGGGCTTTGAGAAGGTGCCCTCCTCAGCTGTGTACCTGGTGCAACTGCACCGCTCACACTGCTCCAAGGAGTCAACTCCCTTCTGCCATCTCTTCCACAGAGGGTGGGTGCTCTGTGCTTGGGGAAAAAAGAGACAGAAAGATACCAATGAGCGCTGCAGCCATTTCAGGACCAAATGGAACCTAAATAGGAATGCATGGATTGTTTCATTCATGTAAAGGGTAAAGGGACCCCTGACCATTAGGTCCAGTCGTGACCGACTCTGGGGTTGCGGCGCTCATCTCGCTCTATGGGCTGAGGGAGCCAGCGTTTGTCCGGAGACAGCTTCTGGGTCATGTGGCCAGCATGACTAAGCCACTTCTGGCGAACCATAGCAGCGCATGGAAAAGCCGTTTACCTTCCCGCCAGAGTGGTACCTATTTATCTACTTGCACTTTGACGGGCTTTCAAACTGCTAGGGTGGCAGGAGGTTTCATTCATGTAGCAGTCACTAAACCTATCTTACTTGTTCAAATAATGTCAGATGTCCAAAGAAGTGTTTTATTTAGTTTTATTTGTTTATTTGTGAAAGTTTTAGAATAAATAAACAACAGGTACTAGACATTGCATCTTCCATGAATACAAGTTAGGTAAGTACATCACACCAGAATGAGATCCGGGAAGACAAAGGTTGCAACACCTCATATTAGCAAATCTTAGAAACAGAAACCATATCTCAGTGAACTTATCCTTTCAGTTTTCTCTTTGCCCTTCTGCACTCCTGTATTCATTTTCAGCTAGAGAGAACTGCCACACTGGTGTATCAGCTACATATGGACAACTTTTATTCACAAACCTAATGTCAGTGAACGGACTTCTGTGTAGCCATTTGTAATGATTCAAATGTATCCACAACAACATGAGAAACAATGGGAAATCAAATCACTATTCTAGCACAGGTCTTCTGAAGATCTGTTTCTGAGGTCAAATCACAATTTGATTTGTCATCCTAGGACTGGGAATGATCTAACCAAGATTAAGCAATTTTGTTTAATTGAGTTGAATAGGAAAAAAGTAAACAAGTGTCTTCATTCTCCCATTTGACTCAAGTCAAAATGTCTTAAGTTAATGTATGTTAGCAATTATTAGTTTTGCCCAATTTTGTACCTAATTTGACATACAGGAAACCACATTCAGATACCCAAGAACAGTAGGTCTTTCTTTGTTTATAAAGAGATATCCTCTTTCTATATACCAGTACTTATTATATTGTGATTGTCTACAAATTATCCAAATATATTTTTTCTTCTGAAGAAGTCAAAACTAACTGTGAAATGAATTTGTAAATATTTTGATATGTGTGCAAGATGAGTTTTTAAAGTATCTGAAAATAAGGGACTAATTAAGGATTGCATGACTCTGAAGGCAAAGAAATGCATTGTCACCAAGAAAGTGGCTGAGATAATAATTTACCGAGAGAGAGAGAGCAGATAATGGACTGATGAAAATAATGGGATTAGTGTATATCTTGTTCAGATGGAATTTCTTCATGCAAGGGGTTGCTGAATAATGGAACAAATTGTCAAAGGCACTGATAGGAGCAAGTGTGAATTATTCTGACAGATTTCTGGAGGAGAGAATTGGAGGGGATAGTTGCTAGCTAGATTTCCAGGATGATAACTGATGATGTATGAACTGATTTAATTTCAGCCTGTGGAAGTGTTGATGGGAATTGTAGACTAGAGTATTCGGTGAAATATACAGCATTAAGAATAGTAAGGTTAGTCTGGAAGGTCTTAATGGATCTCTATGTTCTGATGTGAATGAAATTTCAAGTAATTGCAGGACAAACACTATTGCTGGCCATGACTTGTTCACAAATGATTAAAAGTTATCACCATTCAAACATTGTTTTAATTTGATAATTTTTAGGCAAAGGAAGGATCCATTTTTCAAAAATAATGAAACCAAACCTCATAAATTCTGTTTCCACTATGCCATACGTCACTTATTCAGCACAGCGAATCTTTTATGTTCTTATAGTTGGCTTTACAAGAGAATTTGACAAATTCATTGAAGAGAGGGCTGTTGAAGGCTCTGCTCTGCCTCCACAGTTGGCGGCAGTAGTGCTTCTGAAAACTAGTTGCTAGAAACCACAGGCGGGAGAGTGCTCCTGTGCTCTGGTTGGCCACTATGCGCACAGGATGCTGAGTAGATTGGCCATTGGCCTGCTCTTTATATGTTCTTAATTTTTAATCATTTGTTTCTATGCTATTTTCTGACCAATTTTTTTAAAAATTGTGTTCTTTTGGTAAGGTTTATAGTTGTCACATTGCCTATCAAAATTAGGTAGTTATTGCTCAGGGGACTGAGGGAACTGTCTCTCATTTACATACACTTTCTGGGATCACCTGTTGTCCAAAATGATCTTGCAGATGCTTCACATGGTGATTCGGATTGAGGGGAAACCTCTGCAGAGATGGCTCAGTGGGACTCCAGGTTCCCAGAGATCTCAAGCTGACTTGCCCTGTGGTCCAGTCTATGGGACAGCCAACTCTAGGCTAGCCAGAGGCAGAGGGGTTAATATCTGACTGTTCTTCTGAGGTTTGGAGTTCAGACTTTTTTGAAAAAGTAAAATTAGACCCTACCACTCCATCACATTTCCACTCCCCCAAGACTCCTCACTTCTCTGTAAAATCCCTGAGGCCATTCAGAGGTGTTGGCATACGAGGTTCCAAGCCAGGCACTTCCTTTTGGAGTTCTTGCAAACTTAAAACTAGAGGCAGAGCTTGAATCCTGTACTACTACTTTGCTATTTGGGTGTTCAGTTAAGCTAAAATCCATGACACAAAAACTTCCATTGTTCCCAAGGGTTTGCACTGGGAAGTGTCCCAAGTTCATGTCTGGCTAATTTAGCTGCAGGTACTGGAAACCTACTACAGTGGTGCCCCGCAAGAGGAACGCCTCGCAAGACGGAAAACCCGCTAGACGAAAGGGTTTTCCGTTTTGGAGGCGCTCATAAACGCAATTTCCCTATGGGCTTGCTTCGCAAGACGAAGCCCATAGGGAAATCTCCGGGGACCTCTTTTAAATGCTAGCGGTGGGGAGCAAAGCCTTCCCCTCCGGCATTCAGACGTGGCCCAGGAAGGGTGGCGGGGCCGAATGGCTTTGCTCCCCACCGCCAGCATTTTAAAAGCAGTCCGGGATAGCGGGAAGCGCTTCCCTGCTATCCCGGACGGCTTTTGAAGGCAGGAGAGGTCCGCGAAGCCTGGGCGCGCTGATCTCAGCGCGCGCAGGCTCGGCATGCCGGCAACTCTCCGCAAGCAGCGGCAGCGCTGCCGCTGCTCGCGGAGAGGTCCGCGAAGCCTGGGCGCGCTGATCTCAGCGCGCGCAGGCTTCGGCATGCCGGCAACTCTCCGCAAGCAGCAGCAGCGCTGCCGCTGCTCGCGGAGAGGTCCGCGAGGCCTGGGCGCGCTGATCTCAGCGCGCGCAGGCTCGGCATGCCGGCAGCTCTCCGCAAGCAGCGGCAGCGCTGCCGCTGCTCGCGGAGAGGTCCGCGAAGCCTGGGCGCGCGGCTCGCAGCGCGCGCAGGCTTCGGCATGCCGGCAACTCTCCGCAAGCAGCGGCCGCGCTGCCGCGGCTCGCGGAGAGGTCCGCGAAGCCTGGGCGCGCTGATCTCAGCGCGCGCAGGCTTCGGCATGCCGGCAACTCTCCGCAAGCAGCGGCAGTGCTGCCGCTGCTTGCGGAGAGGTCCGCGAAGCCTTGGCTGGACAGCTTTTGAAGGCAGGTGGGGGGGGGACAAATACATTAGCCCCCGCCAGCCTTCAGAAGAGGTCCAGGACCTCTTCTGAAGGCTGGCGGGGGCAAAGTCTTTGTCCCCCTGCCTGCCTTCCCAGGGGCTTTAATTGCCCCGGACAGCGGAGAAGTCCTCCGCTGTCCCGGGCAATTTTAAAATGCCGCCCGCCAGCATTTTAAGATCGCCCCGGAAAGCGGAGAAGCCCTCCGCTGTCCCGGGGTGTTTTAAAATGCTGGGGTGGGTGGGAAGAAAAGCCCTTGTCCCCCCCCCCAGCCTTCAGAAGAGGTCGGGGGACAGACTGTCCCCGGACCTGGTCTGAAGTCGGTTTCCCATAGGAATGCATTGAAAATCAATTAATGCGTTCCTAGGGAAACCGTGCATCGCAAGACGAAAAACTCGCAAGAAGAAAAAACTTGCGGAACGAATTAATTTCGTCTTGCGAGGCACCACTGTAACTGCTAATCTTCCGGGTTTTTAATCCTGGTAGCATTGTCATCCATTTTATTCTCTCTCTATAGTATTTCTTTGAGCTTGTGCACATCACAGACCCTCCAATTGTTCCTCTTTTCTAGGGACAGTCCCAGGTTTGCAAAAGCCATCCTGGTTTCTGATTTCATCCCAGAATGTCCCGCTTTTCCTTGGGACGTCCCTATTTTCATTGGGCAGGGGGTGGAGTTATGCAACTCCTGAGATATCTTAAGAAGACATCTGACGGCAGCCCTGTAATGACTTTTTAAATGCCCCAGAGAAGGGAAGTTTTTAAATGCCCCAGAGTGGCTGGGGCAACCCAGTTAGATGGGCGGGATATAAATAATAAAAATTCAGTTCAGTTGGATTAATTGTGTTTAGCAAGCAGTCATTACACAGAAAATAATTGGAGAAATATTGGAGGGTATGACATCATGGTGAACAGAAGCAGACAGTGAGTGGTTCAGTCTGTACCTGAGTGACAGTTTCCTTGGACTGAGGAGATAGGCCAGTATCAGCAGATTTATAAGGCCAAATGGGTCCCTATTGGCTTCTGGTATCAATTGATGCATAGTGGTCTGATAGCAACAATACCACCCTCTGGCTATCCTCAGAACTTCAGAGATCAAGCCAGCAAGTCCCTTGGACAGGGAGTAAGGTGCCTGAGACCCTCTACCAAATTTTAGATGTTAAGATGGACCCACCCACCTGTCAGAGTTGGCCCATGGGTCATGGGGAATTTAAGAATTTGGCCCACCATCTGAATTCAGTTCCCACAAACCCAGGCCACTACCATGGTCTTAAAAATTCTACATTGGAGTCAACCAGTCTTTTGAACAGATCAGTACAAAGGTTCCTTTTAGACATCAATTCCACTTTTTTCACATTTGAGGCATATATATAAATTTATGTGTGTGTTTAGAACAATTTTCTAAATATCTGATTTTGATTTCAACAGCTATAGCCTTTCTTTTCCTTCCTTCCTTCCTTCCTTCCTTCCTTCCTTCCTTCCACTTAAATTAAATTAAAGGTTCTCCCACCTTTGAGGTTGATTGAGTTGAAAGTGACTGCCCCAAGGTCATCCAGTGAACTGAATAGGGATCTGAACCCTTGTTTCTTAAGTCCTAATCCAGTACTTTAACCCCATACCACACTGACTCTCATTCCAGGGAACATTATGAAGAAATCATACTTATTTATAGAACTCCAGTTTTCTATAGAATCCGTCATCCACCAATGCATCATTGTTTGCACAAGAAAAAGAAAACTTCAGTAAAACTTGGCACTATTCCCCCCTCCCTCAGCAAAGCCCCCTTATACAGGTCTTCACGTTGTGGAATTTATTTCCATATCCCATTGAAACCCATTATCTAGTCATTATTTATCATATCAAACATCCCTTTTTAATTTCTACTTCAATGGAATTTTTTGTTCTTGCTCCCCACCCTCCTCCTCTCCCCTCTCTGCTTTTATAAAGTTGCACAACCTTTGGGGAAAAGGGAACGTTGTTTACAATGTGTAATTATGATACTAAAAAAGAAATCAAATCACAAATTCATTGTGGAGTGTTTGATCCAGAATATTGTTAGAAACATAATTAATAACTGAAAATATTTGAAACAACACTTTTTAACTGAGGGCATATTTAAAAAGCCAGGAAAAAAACACCTACCTTTTGAAGGAACAACACTTTGAATAAGTTGATGTTTGCTTTCCTTTTCCTAATATGAATAGGTATTTTTGCAAGTATTCATCCGTCATTATTCCATTGCTCTGCATGTGTATTTGGAACACATTTGTTTATAACTGTATAATTTCTCACAAATAAAAATGCAAAATGTAACACTCTTAGAGGCACATTACTTATTGGCCTGTATTCTTCAGCTTGACCCTATAATTGGCCTTCCCCAAAAAATTCAAATGGGACTAAGTTCGTATGGCTTCACGTGCCTTGCTATCAAGGCACATTTTATTCATAAAACTTGCACAGTATGAACCACATAATGAATGGTTTTAAGCAAAATGAGAACATCTGCACCAACATTGCTGATTTGATCTTTAAAAAAACCATCTAGCCAATGTCAAGATTGGAATTCCCACCCAATTGTTATGGTTAAAGAAAGGAGCGCAATGTATTTTAATGCTGGACTCTGGCAGGTTCATAGAACACCAGCCCAGTAAGTAACATATGTACAACACTGCAGGAGGGTGTTTTTTTTTAAAAAAAGCACCAATAAGAAGACTACCCTTTTATTTTAATTGAGGAAAGATTTCAACCTTCTTTTGCCAACATTTTTTCTCCTAGCATTTTTCTGTAGCCCTCCCAACAGATGATCTCCTCATCAACACGTCCAAAGAGCTGCACTATTAAATTTGATTTAATTAAATGTCACTTCTAATAAAGAGATAATAGGGCAAGTAGGGGTTTATGTGATATTAAAGTGGGGGGGGGGGAATCTTATCTTTGTGTTTCAGAATAAAAGTTCCTGATAGATATAATTTGATCACTCAGATATCTGGCTCTTTTAAGAATTCTGTTCAAAGCTAAGTCAGAACAGAAGAAAATGCATTCTTGGCTAGTGGTCAAGACTAGAAGGAAAACCTTTTTGCGTGCAGTTTGAAATGCTGAAATTTAAGGACCGAGAACAAAGTGCTGCTTTTCTAACTCTGCTGCCATCTTGCCCTTGTGGTAATTGAGACTTATTGAAGTCCAGGCTTCTCCAGTGGATTTTGAAGTAGACGAGAGGACTGGAGAAGGTGCAATCATATCTACTAGTTCAGTCATCTTATCAGTGATTATGGGCCAAATATTTTGAACATGTGAGCTGCAAAAAAAATAAAAAACCTACCAAATAGGGATGAAATTGCTTCCAGTACTCTGCACCTCGCTTGTACATCTTTTTCAATGTATAAGGTGTTAATCTACCAAATAACGAAACAAGTGCACATTACAGTAAATTGAGGCTGGAGATGTGAAGTCTTCTTTGAACATGAAAACTCAGGCTGCAGCTCATGAATCAATCCCAGGCAGTTCAAGACAGAGAGTACCTCCTAGGCCACATGAGTACAAGAGGAACGGCGGAACCTAGGATTTCCCTTTGCTTCAACCTGTCAGATCTAGCTCCTGCCAACTCAAGGAAGTAAGGTACCATATTTTTCCATGTATAAGACTAGGTTTTCCCCCTAAAAATAATGTCAAAAATTAGGGGGCGTCTTATACTCTGGGCCATCTCCCCCCATTTTCTTAAATCTGAGTCCCCCAAAATAGGGGGCGTTTTATACATAGATGGAAAATTATAGATGGAAAAATATGGTAGGTCCTGGAAATGAGACAAAGTTGACTGTAGTGAGATGATGGCAACACAGGAACAAATGATACCCAGGCAGGAGTGTAACAAGGCAAAGCCTTGACCTGGAAGGATTTATAACTGAGGGGATTGATCACATGCCCCAGCCAACAGCTGTACAAGAGGCAGGAAATCAGTGGCCCCTCAGATGTTGTTGGGGACTCCAACACCCAGCAGTTCCAGCCAGCCTGGCCAATGGTCAGGGATGATAGAAGGCCACAAGTTTTCCATCCCTCACAGAAGTTAAATCTCTGGTTGGTAAAACGGTATCAAATATATGAGAATTATGTAAGTATGATAACTTTTGTTCACCTGCCAACTGTCCAAATTCAGCTGGGACAGCCATCATTTTTATAACTCTGTCCCAAGGAAAATCCCTCCCTCCAACCATCCAGATAACCAAGAAGAATGCATAGTGTTCTTTCTCACAGTACAGATGCCTCTGGTAGCTAATGCTGATATCAAGGAAGCAGATATGGCAAAGCCTCTAGGTCTCTTGGGGCATTCTTCTTCAGTTTAATACAAGGAGAAGGCATGAGGCTGAGCATGCTAGCTATCCCCCACCCCAGCCCCCCAGCCACTGTTTCCATTACCCTTCACCAGTTGGAGGGCAAGCATCTGAAGCCAGAAGCCTTCTGAAACACAGGGGGCTCTCTACATACACATTCAGTGACTTCCCTCCTTCCCCTTCCATGGTTCATTTAGTTTATTCACCATTTCTGCATATTTTGCTATAACCATCTGATTCTGTTCCCCTGTCTTACATCACTCCAATATTTATTACACTGTTGAATTTATCTTAATACTGCCAGTGTTTTCTTTCTCCATTTCCTTTTTTTTAGTATCCTAATTTTCCAGTGTTCTAAAATGTGAGAAACTGAGGGAATCCACTCATTCTGACTCATAACAACTACACAATACCAACTCTGTAAATTGTATACTAAAGAATAATAATTGTAAGGTGTAATAGGAAAAAAATAACTTGGTTCCATAAATGGGAAAGAAAGCACAAGGTTCTGTACTCGTCCTGCACTTGGTTCACATATTGCATTGGTAATACCTGAAGTTCCATATCTCATAAATTCTCCC